GGCGTGCGGTATCCGCCGGTGACGCACGGCGCGGCGGGGTCCCTGATTGGGCCGTCCAGCCTTTCGCCGGGCTGGGTCCCTGGGGCGTGCTGATTGGCCGGGCGGCCCCGCGTAGCCGCTGTGACGTCTCGGTCTCCGGGTCAGCTGCGGTGGCGTCGCGGCCTGGTCCGCAGTGGTCGCCCCCGCCAGCAGCGACAGCAGGGCACCGGGCGGGACAGGACTGTGGGGGTCCCGCCCCGCTCCCGGCAAGAAGTCGGGCAGCACCCGGTCCAGTGGGTCCGTCCTAGGTTCTTGCCTCTGAGGGGAGACCCAACCGGAACGGCTTCATGACGGTTAATTCTAACGTGCCAAACCACGTGGCTGAGCTGAAATTAATACAAAGCAGAAAGGCAACCGGGGCCGTGTAACGGATGTGCTACCCCCAGCCCAGCGGCCTGGTTCCGTTTACTTAATCCCGGGTCAGGCATGGGAGACAAAGAGATGTCAGGGAGCGACTTCTCTTCGCTAGGATGCTTGTTGAGTGACAGCAGCAGGTTATTAAACACGTGCAGGCATGTACACATCAGGGCTAGGCGGGCGCAGGTGTGACTGGATATGTGTGTCCGAACCAGCACTGATAGAATACACTTCTTAAAACACAATTCCCTTTATCTAACTGACATTCAGCATCATTTTAATGGCTCCGTTCTCATCAACTGTTGAGTGGAGTTATGGTTGCACTTGTAAGAAAAGCTACTGTAATACCCGCTTTTTAGAGACCCTTCCTTAAAATTGAAGTTACTGTTAACGTGTTGCAGATAATTCAATTTACAGAGCACTAAGATCCAATCTCAGAAAAAATATTTCCACAATTTTCTATCCATCCTAACTCCTACATTTTATGACTATCCCTTTCTTAACCATCGTGTTGCCATCTAGTGCTCAAAAGCTGTCAATGACTGTCAAAGGAATCAGTTCTAGATGTCCACAACTAGGATCATGTTCAACTTTTAAAGTGAGCTTAATAGGAGAGAGAAAAGGCAACGTAAAAAGCCATTTAAATAAAACCATCAACCTCCCTCAATTTTCTGGATTTCACAAGGGAAGATGCAATGCTCAGACAGGAATCTTCTCTAACAAGTTCAGGAAAAGATACCCTACCCAGTGATCCTCAGCCATTCAGAACACATCCTGGCTTTGCTTTTTCTTTAGCATTTTGTTAGTCATTATGTTACCCTGGGTTGAAGGGGAAGTAACTGGCAGATACAGATTAAAATTTTCTCTACGGAAACATTTTAGCTATTATTTGTACCTGCACCAATACAACCTTTAGCTCTAGGCACTCTCTAGAGAGCGAAGATTGCTTTTTCCATCTATTCCTGGCCAAATTTCAGTTTTTCCAGAACTGGTTTCAGTGAGCCATTTATTTTTCTTCTGGAGCAATATATTACAGGCTTTGAATGGAGCCAACCTCTAGTTGATCTGGAAAGTAAACTGCAGAATACAGCAGCTAGACTAAATAACTCAGAACAACAAATACATCACAGCCATTCTCAGGGTATGGTCAGTTCCCTTAACTTCATCTACTGAGCTGCAAATAGGTTGGTATTTTCCCATCTGTGATATCAACACTTTTCCAAAATCCCACCAGTTTAACTAGTGAGACACTTCAAGAATTGAAAACCAGATTTTTGGTCTACCGTATCTTAAAACTTGTAGTTCACATTTCCTTGATTTACCTAAGTAGCCCAAATCTCCCCAGTTTTACGGATCTATTGTGCCTATCCACTATACTCCGGGGATTAAACTATCCCTGAGCTTTAATACAGGGGAAGGAAAATGTATAAATTTAGACAAATTATTCTATCTGAAGTGCCTTTTTGACAAAATACTTTGTTTTCCCTGTTAGAAAACCAACCCAAACAAGTACTCTTTTGTTAGCCTTGCTTAAAGCTCCTCCTCCATGTAAACAAGCCTCACATTTTTAGCTACTGTTGTCATCCTTATTACAGCTTTCTCATGTATCTTGCATCTCTGAAAAGACAGCACCAACAATTCAAGCTAGTATTTCTTTGCTTGCTGTTCCAGATTACAAGACAAGCAAGAAAATGGCAGCCCCCTTTGTATATCTAACGTAACTGGCAGTAATCAGTTCACTAATTAAATTTTTCTCACATTCACAGTGTGTAAGAACAGCACAGGAAGCCTACATTCAGAGAGTCAACTGCTCAGAGATGCTGAGAAACATGTAATTAATTCCTTAAGTAGTATTCATCTCTGCTGTTACCACTAGCTCACTGCATGGAAAGAAAAAAAAAAACCCTTCAATATTAAAAAGAGATTTGTGCTACTGCAGTGCATGCCAGAACGTTCCAAAGAAAGTGCCTTTGCTCTTGAGAAGCAGAAAATTCCCCACATACAGGAGGTGGCTGGAAAAATTCTACATTAAATGGGCAAATTCTCTTACCTACAGACTTAGAGGGGGGAAACCAAGAACCCTTGCAACTCGTTAAGATAGTTTAGCAGTGAAGGCTATCAAGCTTTTCCACTACAAACAGCCTTTTTCTCACTCCGTGGAGGCTGCCTGTCATATCACATGTCCAGGCTGGGTCTGGTATGCTTGATAAACTGAGAGGGATTCCCAGTTATGGCTTTCACACCATAGTGGCAACCTCAAATTGACAGAAAACACAAGCTAGAAAACCCATCCCGTTCCGATAATTCTAGGATGTTTATTCAGGAATAGGTAACGCAGCAGAATTATCTTAACCCTTCCCTCCCGGCTGCTGAGGCAGCCTGAAGCCCACCAGGCCGGCGACCTCCTCAGGCGAGCGCTCGCCCTTGCCATGATACTCCTGATGAAGGGCCGTGTGCTCCCGGACGCTGCGGAGCAGGCAGAGGTAGGTGGCGGCCTGGAAGTGCAGCTCCTGCTGGGCCCGGCACAGCTTCTCGCTGGTGACCTACCGAGAGGAGGGAACAAGCCCCGGACACTTCACCTCCCGCCGAAGCCACGGGCTCCGGCCGCGGTAGGGGCGCCCCCGCCTCGCCTCACCTCCCCAAGGGGTGTCAGGCGGGAGGGGCGGGGGAGGGGGACCCCGCGCGTACCCGGTGGGCGCGGAAGGCCGCAACGATGTGCTGGTAGGCGGCCGTGTCGCGGTAGGTGCGGCCCGCCCGGCCGCTGGCGTGGCGGAGCTCCCGCAGGAGCCCGCGCAAGGTCCGCAGCGGAGAGCCCAGC